GATATTTCTTATCATTATTATCATTACAAATGTTAATATCAATTGTGATAATATTTTTATCACTTCAATAAAAGAAAAATTTTTCATTTTAGAACAAATTAAATTTTTTTAACACTTAAAATATACAATCAAATAAATGATAAATTTGCTATTGGTTTATTCAAAAAAAAGACGTTTTAATAAAAAATGAAAGGAATTGATTTACAGGAAGAAGTATTTCTAATTGATTATCATATTATCAATGACTACTGATAATCAGAAATCAAAAGCACGAACAAATCGACGGATACTATTCCAATATCCGGCATTATCAAATGTTGAAATTGGTTTTTGTTATTTTATTGTTGGATGTAGTATGATTTATGCATGGAGTCAAGTTATAATTGCTAGTAATAAATATCAATTCCAATATTGGCATTCAATACGAATTAATCGATTACCATTCATTGGTGAACGATATATGGTAGATGTTTCATTTGTGAAAATATATTAATAATACATAAAATAAATGCATATTACTTTCTTTTTTCTTTTATGTTTTTTTTTTTAATTAGAATTCTTTAAATAATGATATTTAATGAAAAAATCAACTTCTACTCATATTTCAATGATAACATTTAGTAAAATAAATAATTAATCAAGTTACATTAATCTAAAATGTTTTATTAATTATTGAAAAAGTTTTACAAGATAATTTAATTCATGTAAAGTATGATAATAACGTTACATTTGAAGCAATGACTAAATACGGTTTTATAATAATGATTGTCATTAATATTATTATCTTTATCACTTTTACTGCTATTATCATTATTATTATTAACATTATTATTATTATTATTATTATTATTATTATTATTATTATTATCATTATTATTATTATTATTATTATTATTATTATTATTATTATTATTATTATTATTATTATTATTATTATTATTATTATTATTATTATTATTATTATTATTATTATTATTATTATTATTATTATTATTATTATTATTATTATTATTAT